GGATTGTAATGTATCCCATGAAGCCTCATTCATGACAAGCTGTTACAGATAATGATTCAGAGGGGTAGAAAAGGATGTGGGGCAGCATCCAGAAGCTGGGGAGTAACAGTGTTAGGCAACCTAGCACCAGTTTGCAAAGTTCAGATAAATAACAAGCAAAAAACATGTTCACTGGTCCATCATCTTTACCTGAAAGGGTGACAACCACACTCCAGCACATGAGTAGAGGGGACGTTCAAGTTAGTTTATATACCTATATATATATAGATATATAAATATCTGTATTTTCAGGAGTCACTAGGGAAATAAATTATGATGATCTTGTCCAGGAAGAAGATCAAATACAAAGAGAGTGATATATATATACATATATATATATACTTATATATAAAAAGAGCATCCCACCCCAGAAATGTCTTCCTTAAGAGCAGAGCAGATACATTTTGACCTGCTGCACATGTGTGCTCTCATTCAGACCCTAGCTTCTGAAATGACAGGTACTTTCAGCAGAGGGAGGACTGTTAAAGGTATAGCAACTATACAAAGGCATACCACAAACAGTAATGACTTGTAACCAACAGCAATTCAACTTTAAAACAAAATCCTATCTCTGCACTACTTGAAAGAATTGCCACTCCCTATGACTAAAATAGGCAAGCTATTCCCCCTCTTCATTTTGTGTCTTTAGTTGACTTGTGGAGTTATTTATCAAACCAAATACAGCAGAATATCTGATTTACAATGTGAAAGGTATATGGTAAAAATCATCTTATTCAATAGAAAGTATACCATTTGAAAATGACCAGTTGCTTCCTAGAACTCCTCAGTCATATGGTGACTGTCATGGGATAGATGAACAGTAAGAATGAATAAATTCATGTTTCAGATCTGTACAATTTGTGGTTTGGAATATCTGGAATATTTGGAATTGCAATATAAAAAAGATCTCCGTAGCAGTCTGATCAGATCAGTGAAAACAGGTAAGAGAAGCCACAGCTGCAGAGAGCATTCTGAAAGACAGGTGAGAGTTAATGGTATCACCTTCATGACAGAGGAATGTCATGAATACTTCATCACACCTGGACAAGACACTGCTGTAAACTAAGAATCAGAATGGGGAAAGGGTAAAGAAAACATTGAATATACAGTCTGGTGTGACAAGCACATTCCTCCTTGTAGGAATATGCCACAAATTCCATGACAACAATAAGAACTAATATATTTATCAGTTTGAAAGCAAGTCTGTCTCTTAATGCCATAGTTTGCATTCATGGGCCTAGGACAATTTCAGAAATGTTTACAAGAAGGTACCGTAGCTGTGTAAGGGATTAGGTGTGCTCTGATTCACCTGTGACTTGCACTTTGGCAATGCATTTTGAAAAGTGACGCTTTCCAGAATGGTAACTGCCGGCAGTGCAGGGTGCTTTAGGCAAGGGTGAATACGAAGCCTACAGTGCAGGAAGACTGATCAGTTTTGAAGCAATTGTTGTGCAACAGGGAAACATACTTACTGATCCATAAAATTAAAATAATATGTGCCCTTTCTCTTCAAGCACCACACATTTAATGAAAACAACTTGGTGAGTCTGTCATCTCTCACCTCTGTATGCCTGCAGACACAGTCTCTCTTGACTTCAGCATCATACCCATAACTGTAAAGGAAGGATTTTCTTGGATGCATACATACTGTTTTGAAGAGTGAAACTAATGTCTTAGAGTTTAATAAGCTGTAAGTTTTCAGTCCTTCTGCAATATCCATTTTATGCTCAACAAGCGACTCTCACTCGCGCAAAATGAAGTCTTTCTATTCACATTTAGAGTTCTTGTATATCCCTCAAAATCCAAGCATGGTTTGCATGCTGTCTGTCCTGAAACTGTTATTGACATAAAGAAACATTGATACAGTGGGCATTTTCACATATTTCTTCCCAACATCTTTCTCTGCCCCACCAAATACTGTATTTTTCCTGACACAATGACACAATTTCCAGAAGCAAGATCCTGTCACCTTCCTTTTGCTTTAAGTACAGCTACTTGGTCCCATCACTGTCTTTGTGTAAGCTCCAGTATTCATGCGACTGGGAGGTGAGCTCAAGCCAATTAAACATCACAAATTCTCAACTTGTATTTCAGATTGGTTACTCTGCACAGGTGCTACATATAACACAGGAGCTCATGCCAGCACAAAGAAAGCAACAGAATTAAGTGGTCCAGGTAAATTCTTCTTTCAGCAAAAGCCCAGAGAAGTTACATTAAAGAGACAGATCATCACTGCCTAAATATTTAATCAGAGCAAAATGCTTAACATACTCCAGTAACAAGACCCAGTTTATGAGTTCCCACCTGTGGAAACAGTATCCCCAGTAGCATCAGGAAAGCAAAAGACTTTGATAGAAGAATAGATGGTAAAAGATGCAGCTCATACAGGTCATCACACGCCATGGTCTTCTGACAATTTCACTGGTGATGTGGTTGCAAAGGCACACCAGAACCTGGCAGGTTTTTAAAAATCAGTAGAATAGGGTTTGTTATGTTTATCTTCAGTGAAAAGGAACAATTATATAATTCACTGCACAGTGTACAGAGAGTCAGTTCAGGACACACAGTAACAGAGCAGCTGAGTGAAGAGGGAGAAGAGAAGAGGGTTTAAAACAACTCTCTCTCTAAAAATGCATTTTGATGTAGTGAAATGAGACACATTCAGAATTCATAATCATAAAACAGTTTGGGTTGGAAGGTACCTTTAGAGATCATCTAGTCCAACCCCCCTGCAATAACCAGAGAAACCTTCAACTATAGCAGGTTGCTCAGAGCCCTGTCCAACCTGACCTGGGATGTTTCCAGGGGTGGGACATCTACCACCTCTCTGAGCAACCTGATCCTGAGTCCCCATCCTCATCATACAAAATTTCTTATATTTAGTCTGACTACACCCTTTACCAGTTTGAAACCATTACCCCTAGTCCTATGCCTACATGCCTTTGTGAAAAGTTCCTTTCCAGCTTTCCTGTAAGACCCCATTAGGTACTAGAAGGCTAGAAAATCTCCCCCAAGCCGTCTCTTCTCCAGGCTGAACAACCCAACTTTTTCACCCTGACTGTACAAAAAAGGTGTTCCAGCCCTCTGATCATCTTTGTGGCCTCCTCTGGACCCTCTCCAACAGGTCCATGTCTTTCCTGTAATGAGGACCCCAGAGCTGGATGCAGGACTGGGTGGGGGGAGGTAGGGGGTTTGGGTTGGGTGTCACACCAGAGCAGGGGGAGAAAATCACCTCCTTCAACCTGCTGGTCATGCTTTTTTTTGATGCATCCCAGGATACAGTTGGCTTTCCAGGCTGCAAAGTCACACTGCTGGCTTGTGTTCAGCTTTTCACCCACAAGTATCCTCAAGTGTACTCTCAATTCTTTCATCCTGGAGCCTGTATTTATACCAGGGGTTGCCCCAACCCAGGTGGAGGACCTTGCACTTGGCCTTGTTGAACCTCATGAGGTTCACATGGGCCCACTTCTAAAGCTTGCCCAGGTCCTTCTGAATGGCATCCCATCCCTCAGGCACGTCAGCCATACCACTCAGCTTGGTCGCTGTTGTCTGAACACTAGCTGAGGATGTACTCAATTCCATTGTCTGTGTCAGTGAGGAAGATATTAAACAGTACAACATGGACCCCTGAGGAACACCATTTGTCACCAGTCCCCACCTGGACATTGAGCCATTGACCACTACATTCCAGATGGGACCATCCAATTCCTCATCCACTGAAGAGTCCACTCATCAAATCCATACTTCTCCAGTTCAGAGAGAAGGATGCTGTGGGACAGAAACCCAGATAGATGACATCTGTAGCTCTTCCCAAGCTTTAGAATAAATACTTTACCACCCAGGACAGGTTGTTCATAGCTGGCTCCTGATTGCTAAATAAACTTTTATTTTTGCTCCTGATTTTTGAAAGTGCCGAGAATTTTACTGCTATTCCTGAAAGTTTTTCTCTAAATAAGGACTACAAGACTGAATTGGATATGAAAGTCAAGCAAGACTTGTTATGTATAGTAGTACAAAACAATACTTTATTGCACTCAGACTTGAGTTTTGCTTTTTGATGTGTTTTAGGTCTCTTCCACCTTGCCTCATTTATCAGTGTATATACAAAATACATTCTGAGCAACCTATATTTTTTTCAGAATCTTCTTTCATAATACAAAGAACAAACAGACACCATCCCAATGTTTTGAATGGCTGCCCACATAAGGAAACTGTAGTTGCTAAGCTCACTGCTCCAAGCAGTCTCATGTGCTTTATAACCCACAGTATTGGCACAACCCAGTCTATCAGGTGAGCAAGAGAGAGATCCTCCTTCCTCTGTGCAAAATTCTAATTGTATTGTTGAAAATAGCACTTGCCTGAAGATGCAAATTTGTCTAATGCAGAACACTGGGGGAATGGCAAGGGAAAATATTAGAGAAGTGAATTATGTGTCAAATGCAAACAGAAGACCTAAGTCTCACACTACAATCACAGGAAAATAATGAAGCACATTACATTCACTTGTACTCTTCAGTGTTACTGCAGAAGTTATACAAAAGTTCTTATTGATTTTATTCAAACCCTATGTAGACATGAAAGGATTCATCCTGATATTATGATAAATGATGAAAAATAACATTAACATAAACTTATTTATATAAGAAACCATGCTGACAGAGTACATGATTCTTCATTTTATGTTTTTACATTCCTCTTTCCAAGAGGCTCAGGCAGGTCTCCCATCAATTACACTCATGCAAAAGAAGAATAACTTCAATGAAGCTTGTATAAATTAATCATTCAACTAAGAGGCAATATGTCATAGTAAGCTGATTTTGACAAAACTAGTAGATCAAAATAATAACATTTAAAACCAAAGTTATCTATATTGTCTAAGGAAAAGAATACTAGGTTTTTTAACAGATAACAGTATATATGATTCTTTCTATTCCACTACGCAAAATTACTTGTGTTAACAGCAGTCATCTGGCTGTGCTTGCTAGAAAACAAGCTCCAACAGAACTTGGCTTTCCAACAGACACCCTCTGCTCTGCTTCAGACCCTCCCACTGTCATTCTGCACCTCATAACTAGAGTTTGAAATTCTCCTGCACAGTACAGTGAACTCTACCTACTGGATCCAGGTAATTTTGTTAAACAGCAGTGTCAAAACAAAGCCAGCTAAATACTGGATTAGCAGATGACAGCTCTTCAAAAATATTCTCATTAAACTTGCTCACAGCACCAGAAACAGGTTTTATGTTAAAAAGATTAAGCTCCACGGAAAGCTTCCTCCCTCTTACCATATCCTTGAGGACCTGTGAGTACTGTTGTGAGTGGCAGTGTGTTGGCAGAGCAAATGCCAGCAAACTGCCTCCACGCACACAAGTGATCAATTTATCAGTTTAATAGAGCTGTAAATCAAGAAAAATGTTCCTCAAGCCTTAACAGTGAACTAAGAGCAAAAAATAGCCAACAAGCTCTGATGTAGAATGGAAAATATAAGTACCTGTAAAATACAGCATACATTGCATTTTCCTGTCAGGAGCCCACAGAAAATCTGACCGCTATGATTCCTAGCTACATGACACGCTCCTTGAATCCTGGTGGCAGAGCTCTATAACATTAATGCTGGGTGCTCTTGCTTTCATCTGTAGGGAGCGCACACGTGGGTTTTATTACATTTTGCTCCATTTAAAACAGAAAGAAGCCAGTACAAGGGAGCTAAAAGCAGTGCTACAAGGCACTAAAACAAGAAAGGATCTGCCAGCCATATAGCACAAACAAAATTATTTGCAATCATTTCATGATTCTGTATTTACAGAATTCAGAAAGCTACCAATGTCTATAACTGTTTGTACAAGATATAAAGTGCTGGTAATGTATATAATCCCTCCAAAATTCCCAAATGATTCCTTCAGTACTTTTCTCCCTCCATCTTAAATACATCTCTGTTCTACTACATGCTTTTTTATTTTTTAGTTTGCAAAACTGTTTCTGGCATATATCATGCCATTTCTGTCGAGAGTTTCTCCTTCTGCAATGCCTTTCAAATACTGACCTTCATTACCTTCCACATACCCTCTGACTTTGAAAGTCTTTAATATGTTCAACTTTATTAAGTGTGGTCTTTTCACTGTGATGCCAACTCTCTATCCCTTCTTACCACAATTTGTATAATCTTTTTACGTGATATTTAATTAGAAGTCTAAGCTCTTTACTCACCAGAAATAAAAGTCAAGTAATACTGATCAGCTTCACAACTTGTTTTTACTGAACAAAACCCCAAAATCCCCAAAATGCAAAGAGCTTCCAAATTCTCTATTATGTCCATGAAAGTCAGCAGTCTTATGTATTTAAAAGCAATTCAAACTATTTCAAGAGTACTAAAATGCTTATTTCTTCTTCCAACAGCCTAGAGGCATATGCACGTGCCATGTTTGGCTATTGGATTAAATGCACTAAATGTTTCACATGCATTAAATATTACTGAAGAAGAAAACAGTGAACTCTGGCACTTGATGATTTCACCTCAGTATTTTTCTTGCCTTGCCTTTCTCTGATAGAATTACACCAGTAGGCTTCACCCTCAACCTTTCTTCTTTTCTAGAAAATAATCAGACTAAAATTAGGTTTTATATAGCGCAAGTATGATGAACTTTGGTGAGAAGACCACATCCCATGAAATTAAACTTGTTTACTTGCTTCAGTCTTTTCAAGTATTGTAGCAGCCAATTTTAAAATACTGACACAGCAAATGATCTGCAAAGCAGAGAGTCCAGACAACAGTGATGTGTGATCCAGTTTTACAGCAACACAGTGTGCATAGGCCTGATAGCCTTGTCTAGTGCTGACTCACAGGCACACATGCTACTTGGAAGTAGTATCTCACTGTAGCTGGTACTAAATTCTCTAGTTTCTCAGATTTTTATCTCAGGAGCACATTTAAAAGTCATCAGTTAATGAAACTGAAAGGAAAACTCAGTTCATTCTAGAATCCTATTTACCATGAGTTTAGCAGTTTTTCAGAAAAACGTCATTTTCCTGAATCAACTCTCACACTGAGCAGACCATTACAAACTTAGAATCTCATTTTGGCTTCAAAAAAATCAAACTTGTTGAGCCAAGTCAATAAATAAGCTGTTCGGTATGGTCAATGAATAACCAATTTAGCTCCTTTCCAAATCCATTTATAAGCAATCATGCAGACATTATGCAGTTTTGTAGCTGATACCTAATGGATACATAATAATAAATTTATTAGAGTTAATAATTCCTGTTGTGCTAGTAAATGGACTAGCATGGTTCATCACCATCCCTAATAGTCTGTTTATGAACTAAAAGGGAGGCTGTTGAGGAGTGACTGGTATACTACATGAAGAAGGCTTCTTTAATGCACTGTTTCTCATTTCCAGAGAATAATGTTCAAACACAGGTGTCATGGGCCTACCATGTCATGTTATGACAGATTTATTCTCACAAGTTTTGTCTGAAGAGCGCAGTGACTGCAGCAGATTAGAACATGGAGAAAACTTGAATTTTATATTTTTTTAAGATACAAAAATAAGGTATTAGCCATGCATATTATCCACCTTGAAAACTTGTTCTGCCATTGCATTTCCCATAGAAATGTGCAAAGTTAGTTTTCATCTGTAAGCTAAAGCTTTCAGATCTTCCACACGCACTTGATAGCCCTCAAGCAATTTGTTTTGCAGTTACAGTTGGAGAAGAAATAGTTTCTCTCCCAAATGAAGTGCTCAGGACACAAACTGAGCTGCAGAAAAGTGATTCTGAACCCCCTCTTCGTGTTCCTCAGGCTGTGGGTGAGGCTGTATTTCTTCCTAGACCCTGGTACAGGCTTAGTTACCCCGAGCTCATACTTCATTTCTCATAGCACCTTTCCAGGCCCTGGGAAACAGATGTAACACAGTATACTTCAGCTACTTCTTCATCTCACCCTTGGGCTGTTATTTTTCTTATATTGCCATATGTTCCTCATGTCAGGGGTAGAAGCAGGGCTGGTATGAGCCATTACATGAATAACCCTTTCCAATCTTGAAAAACAGCCAATGGGCAAGGTTATTTATTAAGCTGTTTCCTGTCTCTAAGGTCTCTTCTGTTGCTAGAGCTGGGGATTTTGCATACAAGTCCTTTCTATTTAATTCCTAGAGAATGTTCCTTGACATTGATTAAGCCAAGATCCATTCTTCCCCTACTTTTTGCTAAAACTTCTTTTAAAATGCTTAAAAATGCTCCCCACTTAAGCTTCTCTTCCTTATCAAAAAAGAGCATTTCTAAATGGGAATAAAATGAGCATTTTTAAAACAAAATTCACATGCTTGTGGCCATAACTAATATATTGAATGCCAAAAATACAGATGGGAAGACCAATTTTTGTCTGTTATCCTCTGTTGTTTTAGCTATGTGCATCCCAAGCAGAAGCCTGTAACAGCCCTTCATGTCAACCATGCAGAGTATCAGTGATACCCTGGACAAAGGCTCATCTATGCATGAGTGCCCACTTTGCTGTGAGCAAGAAAAGTGACTCACCATCCTCTGATGCCTTGTGCAACCACCCCTGGTGACTGTGAAAAGAATTACCATATCTTGTTACTGACAGGGCATGGAAAAGATATGAGAAAGAAACAATAATGCTTCAGTGTCAATAGCAATAGAAATGACTTGCTTAATCTGCTGGTAGCCTGAGGTAGAGAACGTCACTGAAAGCTTACCTTTATAATATTGCATTTGCAGGCCAAGCCTTGTCAGTCAACAGTCTCATTTATGGCTTTATATCTCTAATCTATCACTGAATAAAAGTTTTACTAAAAGTAACTGACAATATCATTCCCTTCCCAGGCACCATCTTAGCCTGAATCCCTGTCTGTTCCAGATATACTGAAATCATCTGTGTGGGATAGCATTTTCCAAGGAAAAAAAAACATACCAGTGCTGCCTGCACCCCTCCTTCTCCTTCTTCACCTGGTTGCCTCTGAGTAACCATACATAAACACAATATTAAGCCAAAATGTGTATTTTAAGGCTCCTCATGCCTTGCTTGAATAAGCCCCAGTGAGGGGCTATAGCATGGGGGTTAAGCACAGGCTTGCACCCTCCTGCTCCATGTCATGCTCTGACAGGTACTGCTTTTCCTGATCAGTGTGACTGCTGCAACCACGGGACTGGCTGGCAGCATCCAGCTGAGGCTCCCTGGCAGTTGCCCAGACAGATTTTGGTGTGGAGCTGGCTTATCCCTCCTGTCCTTGTTGGCTTGGGTTACAAATCTGAACAGAGGCTAAGGAGTTCAGTGGAAAGAGATGTTCTTGGTGTTCCTTCCAGTCTTTGGAAAGCAAGTAGGAGGAAAGGTTCCCTATTCCTTCTTTTTTTTCACCTAAAACATAAATGGAACTTTGGCCTTGTAATGTCTACCAGTCAATGTTATTAGTATAGATCAGTAAAGCAGCTTTCCTAAGGTAGGACATGGTTTTGCACTCACTATGCAAGCTAACCTGATTTTGAGCTGAGCACAGCTAAGCTGAACTGATTTTTGTAGAAGTTCTGCCCAAGAGAAGAATGCTGTCCCAGTTGAATTGAGTGAGCCCTTGTTTCACACATCCTATTTATTTTGTTTTAATTAACAACTATTAAAATATCAGGAGCTTTTAAAAAATATACAGTAACATTAGCTGTTACATAAGTACTAATAGATTTAGGAAACAGCTGAATGAGGAAGAATATGAGCTGTATGACAGACACAGTCCTCTCCATGTCCAAAATGATGTGCTGTTAAGGTGGTGACTTGTGACTATCATGTGTTTTAAATAAGAGGCTCCCTTTTTATTTTAAAGAATCGTGCTTCTTAAAAGATTATTGCAGAGTCTCTCACCAGAAATTAGTTTCTTAAGAGCTGAATTAATTCTTGCTGACTCTAACACATAGTCAGTCACCCAAAACATGTCCCCAGAGAATCAAACAGCCAGAGAAATTTCACATAGCTCTGGAATTTATGTGTTTAAAATGTGCGCTAAGTATTTCAAACCTATTCTAGGATGTTTTAGGTCTTTAAGTCTGCTTTTAGCTACTGTAGATCATTGCCTCTGCTTTATAAGAAACATTGTTTTACAGGTTTATAACTCAGTTATAAAAATGTGCTTCAGGCTAAAGCTCAGTATAAAAAGGTCGCAGCTAAAGGGTAATTTTTTTTCATTACAACCTTTTTCTGCTTTGTGTAGCTAGTTAAGATTACAGATGTCCTAAAAAATATCCCATTGCAGTGTAGGATTACGACCAATAACAGAGGTTGATTTATAGTCTAAACTGCAGGGAAGAGAAAGGTAATCCAGTTTTAAAAATAAACCAGCACCACCACCCAAAATGCTGCAACTATGAATTTATTTGGTCAAGGGTTTAGATTTTTTAGGAAATGTAATAGAACATGGGTTTTTTTAAAGAGCTGTAACTTACTGGCACTTCAGACTGTACAAAAGGATGTGACGTAACTGATGTATCACCGTTACCTACTGGGAGAACTGTGATGGAGTGCTCCCTCAGTGAACATCTATGAATTGACAATCTGGAGTTCTTCAAGGCCTGGAAAATAAGCAGCTAAAGTTGTTCTGTCTGTTCCTTTCAGTTAATGCAAACTTCAGAGATTATTTATCTTAACATACAAATACATACCCAGGGTTAATAGGCCAAGCCTAGAATCTAGTTCAAAGAGGTATGCAAGTATCAAGAGGAATGCTCAGCGACATGGCTAAACATACATAGATTGCAGATAAAATGCACAGTTAACTGACTATTGAAACAACTGGCTTGTGAATTTCCTGCAAGTCAAGATTTCATTCTCCATACATATGTGACCCAAAGCTTCTACAGAGAATATAGTATTTCAAGGTGTCTGGAAGAAGACCTGGAATGCATAGAGAGAGAGAGGGAGAAACAACTTTGAGAAAAGTCCTTTGCATGTGGAATGAAACCAGATCAGAAACTAAACTTGTGAGATTCAAACTTGTATTGTGTATACAGCCCCACCTTTGAGAACATGCAGGAAGTTTTCCTCATGGGCCACCACTTTTAGAAATAATACCCTAAACATAACTGGGAAGAAGTCAAGTAACTCAGACTGAAATACCTGTGACCCTCCCATGAGCATCCCTTGCTGCTCAGAAGTAATTTAACAATCTCAGAAGCAGAACACGTTCAGCTCAATGATAACAAGTGAAAGATTTCGGGGAGACAAAGTTCAGCAACTTCAGCTTGGTTTTACGTTCAACTATTTGGCTCATAAACACTAAAGAGGTATTAATGCCTATAGGGAAAAATAAGTATTATAAAGTTACATGAAACTACTGTAAAAAGACGGGGTTGGGGTTTTTTGGGGGGAGGAGAGAGGGTGGTTTATTTTTTTTTCTAACAACTGCAGAAGGGATATTACTGGGAAGTAGATATATGCTTTCTCCCCAGCCTCACCCAGAGTAAAAGGAATTACTGTATTTTGCTAGGTTTCTGGACTAGTCAAAGCTGTACAGTTGATTGGAGGGTACTACATGGTAAGTATACTCAGTGGAGAACATATGCCTCAGACTTGCACATCCATAGGACATATTCTGGTTATAATATTGTGTCCAAATATCAGTGTGAAACTTTTTGGGCTTACACTGTTCATTTACTACATAGTTGTTTTAGGCATACAGGATAGAGTTATGCTTCCTAGCAACATCAGAGCTGTTGCTTTTACATTTAAGACAACCCAGAAAAAACAGTTCTAGTTTCAGTAGTTATAGATATAGTTCAAATGTTGATCAACTTGCCACCGCATGAGCTTCACAAGAGTATTTTATATATCTTTCAGAATCATATGGTCGTAGGTGTTATAGGACAACCCACTTATAAATTGCTATCAATATCATCTACAGTAATGCTTCCCTGATGTTCACTAAATAAGGTGGGCTGCCTAAAATACCTGGCAGCCTACCACACACCATCATCATGAGTTGGGGTTATTTAGCCTGGAGAACGAAAGGCTTCAGGGAGATCTTACAGCAGTACCAGTACCTAAAGGGCCAACAATAAATCTGGAGAGGGGCTTTTGACAAGGACATGCAGGGACAGGATGAGGGGGAATGGCTTTAACTGACAGAGGCGATATTTAGATCAGATACAAGGAGGAAGTTCTTCCCTGTGAGGGTGGTGAGGCCCTGGCACAGGTTGCTCAGAGAAGCTGTGGCTGCCCCATCCCTGCCAGTGTTCAAGGCCAGGATGGACGGGGCTTGGAGCAACCTAGTGTAGTGGAAGGTGTCCCTGCCCATGGCAGGGCAGGTGGAAGTGGATGAGTTCCCTTCCAACCCAAACCATTCTATGATTCTGTGACCATCTAAGTATTAATTAAAAATACAGAACAGCAATGTATTTCCATGGATCAATAAGAAAGTGGTTATGTCTTCTTAGACCATCAACATTATGAAGACTGTTATGTACATCCGATTTTGCCCACTGTAGTCAAAAAACCCCAGAATCAAACCAAAATATACCACAAAATCCTGTGAAAAGAAAATGACTTATGAAAAATTTCCTCCTCATCTATGTGGTATTAACCTTCAAAGCAACACTGGTGATGCTCCTTTACTCTTTACGTAGTCATCAAGCCTTGACTTTATCAATAATATTAATAAATATTATTAGCTGACTAGAGGGTAGATGCTGCTCTATTTTTAGTTACCATTTGGCCAACTAAAATGATACATTTATTGCATATTAGTTGCTATTCATACATGAATGACAGCAGTGGTGATTTCACAAGTGGCACATGCCATGCCAGATACTACATCAGGATTTACCTGAAAGGCTTAACTTTGTCTTTGAGTGTTTGAGAATTATGGAAAGAGTACAAAAAGTTGAAATACTGAAGCAGGAAAAACCCCAGTATTTTCAATGGCAATCTAACTTCATTCATAAGAGTGAAATTTACTAATGATTAAAACTGGAAAGGAGCAAAGCCACTGTAAACCCTTCCCGGTTTCCACCTTTAGACTCCATCCCTCTGGAAGCAGCTAGCTCCTATCAATCCCACTCACAGCAGTAAACCCATCAGTTTTAGAAAATCTGGACAAACAATGCATGACCCAGGTGATAACTGTGGTTCAAAGACCTTTTAGACAGACTGCTCACTTCAACCTCCTCCGTGAAAACACCGGCATGCAAGTTTCACAGATCTGTGTGGGACTGCTTCCAGAAGCAGTAATGCAGGATGATACCGGGCAGATGCTTCCCCAACATGAGTAAAGAAACTTAACTATAAAGAAAGAAGTAGGAAATACTCCTCATTCATTTTATTTATAATTTCTGTTCTTTCTGTACACTGTATCTGGACAATGTTTTAAACCACCCTGTTATTCGGCCTCTTTGTGCTCAGGAAGGAGGACATAACTTTAATCACTGGGATGAATTCAAAGTTAAGTTAAAACAGCTCAGCCATGCTAAGGGGGAGAAGCATTTATCTGATGAAATGTCAGAGAGAATTCTGCAGAACTGCTGCATCCCTAACAACGGGGCTAAAGTGATTAAGGTGCCCACGCAGAAATACACCCTTTCTGCTTAATTTAATTCCTAAATCTCATCATGAATACAAGTACACACTCTATTTGTACTAATGTGAAGAGAAACGCACACAAAAAGAAATGACTCATAGTAGAGACTCAAGGACATAGAAGAGATTGTAATACTGTGTCTAACTTTGGAAATCCTTGATGATTTCTATCTCTTTCAATGCCAATGGAAATAATGAAAGCTAATGCCAGGTGCACCAATGCTTCCTGGCAGTTTTGACCTTTAAAAGAAAGAACTTGGATTTACAGATGACAAGATTCATTGCAAGCTCTTCACATAACAGCAAGCTTCTGACTTGCTCAGGTTTACTTGAATACCCCAGCCCATAGAGCAACATTTCAACTCCCCCAGGAAGGGAAGCTTTACTAACAAACATCCGTATCTGCAATTTTTAACGGTAATTTTGGAATCCTTTTTCTGCCTTCAAAATCATGTTAACCAATATGCTGTAAATGCGTAATGCTTTTTCACATAAGGCTCATTAGTGTTGCATATTGCAAATCTAATAATAAAGTCTTTTCATTTGTATATAACCACAGTATAAATACAAACATGAAGCAAATATGGACTGATAATAAAGTCTAGTGAAATGAATGACTTCTGGCAAGCAAAACTAATTTAAGCACGTATGCAAGAACTTGCTTTTTTGGTCTTGTTTTGAATGCACTTACTGAAACTCACCTGAGTTACAGCTGTAGGTATTTCTATATAAATTTATTGTATTTTGGAGACCCATGTTCTGCTAACTCACACTACAGTAGAACTTCTGCTGTGTCAACAGTTACAGGTTCCCAGTAGTTAAGGCCCAGTTCTTAAAATCCTTAACTTAAGTGCAGGAACAACTTTTCTAGCTACTATGCACTTTGAAGTATTGCTGTGGGGTTTACCTGTGAGAATCATAGAATGGTTTAGGTTGGAAGGGACCTTTAAAGGTCATCTAGTCCAACCCCCCTGCCATGAGCAGGGACACCTTCCACTTGAGTCAGGTTGCTCAGAGCCCCATCCAACCTGACCTTGGATGTTTCCAGGGGTGGGACATCCACAACTTTTCTGGGCAACCTGTACCAGTACCTCACCATCCTCACCACACAAAATGTCTGCCTTATATCTAGTCTGAATCTACTCCCTTTTAGCTTAAAATCATTACTCCTTCACATTAGCCCCTTCACAAAAGGCCGAACTAAAATGTCTGTCCTCATCTCTATTATAAGTCCCCTTAATAACAGGGTTAAAAATAACTACTGGCGACATTGTCTTTGTAATCTGGGACTTCTACTATGGTTATATACACCTGATGGATATTTGTACACCTGCAGGTGTCTAGAAAAGAGCAAGCCTTTATTCAGATGCCAGTTACACAGACACAGACATACAGGATGCTGATTTACTTTTACAATCAATATGAACAATAAATTAGGTCTGGACTGGATAAACAATGCAGCATGCTGAACCAGACTTCACAGTGGCAGTTTCAGAACTTTTTTCTCTCCATTTAACAGCTCTTGTTCTAGCTCTCCTAGCATTATCTCTGGCTTATCTGGGGCCTGTAGACCAAGATATGCTCCAATTTCAGTTCCCCCCCCCGAATATCATGTTTTTTCTTGACATGTATGGCCAAGATGGAAAGAAGAGAAGGCTACAAAAGTGACATTCCTTCCTTCTGTCTGCCTGAAATGCCCCTTCTGGTTCGTAAAGACAAACAGTCAGAAAATTATAATCAATCCAGTACATTGTACTGCTGTTTCTCTGTTCTGTCCTTCCTTAGTGTCTGTGTATGTGATGCACGAAATCCTGGGCACTGGCTCCTAATATCCAGAGGTTAACTGAGAAGCCTGCCTTGTGTGCCTGAAACCCGAAATGCTTTTCCAGCACTTCACATCCCAGAGACCCATTCACTGGCTGTATTCAGCGATCCTATGGGAATTCTTCATGCATACCCTTTAAAACGGGAGAAACCCCATTTTATTAAAAACAAAATATTATTTAACATTCAGTAGTGCAGTGCCACAGCAAAAAGTTTTCCTGCCTCTATAATATATCACTGTAATGTTTTATTTACAGCAGAAGTAGTTCCCTAGATCAATGATTAAAATTTGCTGTAGGCTAAAGAGTCATAAATTTCCAGCTCTCACCCAGCTAGTTTTGTCTTGTACATTAAATTTTTAATTAAAAAGTCACTCAACGTCAATGTCATAACTTGAACAATCTAGAAACTTCATATGAAGTCCAGCTTGCATTCAGTTACACTGAAAACAACACACTGCATATTTCTATCTATTGAATTTGCCTCCAGTTACTCTCAAGCTTCTCTTTTCCTCCATTAAATAAATATGCTCTTGCAGGCAAACCTGAAAGATGTCCCAGAGCAGCATCAGACTGTTCGCTTTCAGATACAAAGATGACTGGTTAGTCCAAGCCAGTATATTGCTCAATTATATTTTACCCTAAAATCAGGCCCATGAAAGTAAATGAATGTTTTTACAACCCACTTCACCTTCTGTAGTATGATGCACAGATCCACCTCCCCTTCCACTGTTCCATATCGACTGTCAAGTAGAGATCGCTGCAAGTGTAGGCCACAGGACAATTTTACTCTTTTCTCTTTCATAGTAACTTAGAAAAACAAAAAACAGTAACAAAGATATTAGGTTTCTGGGTATTTTTATAAACTGAAAAACAAGAATCAAGATGTAATGAAATAAAAGATATAAATTATGGAAAGAAAAGCTGAAAATCAATATACTGCTCTTCAAAGAGACTTCTCAGTTTAAAAAAAGAGTAGCTTTTGCTGAATGCTTAATTAGCTATAGATTGTTAAAGAAGGATTCCAGACCATCTGGAGCCTATTCTGTAACTTGATCTGGAAAACTCTACCTCAAAACCAATGCCTGTGGGAAGGCATGAACATGCATAAGACAACCTCACCTACAGGTTTCTGGTATAT